CTCCTCCCTGTGACCCTTCTGTAAGGGGATGTCCAGTTGCCTACAGATGGGCTTTAGGTCGCCACTCCGCACTCCCCATCATTCACAGTGATATGATTTTTTGTTCTTTGATGCCTGATACCTGATCCCATTGACACCTCGTGATCACACAGGCTAGTGTGCTTCTTCGATGTGAGCTTTGTTGCTTCTCAGCTAGATTGTCACTTGTTTATCTTTAAGACCCCAGACGCTGTATCTTTTCATAGCCGGACACCATCGGCTTTCTTTACCATATTTACTTATGTACCCACTTTGTCTTCAGTGACCAAGTCCGGAAGGTGAACATCATGCAATGCTAGTTTAATAGAACAAAGTGTTCTTGCATTGAGGGAGTACTTGAGTCGAGGCCGAATGTCCATTTTCTACCTTAATGCTAAGCCTGTAAATATATGCACATAGATCAATTTCCCGATCCTCATATAGAAATATATTTACATATATATATATATATCCCTGCATTTAGACCTCTATAAATGCCCATTGCCTCCTAGTTCCTTCCTCTATTTCCTTTTATTTTCCTCTTGTCACACTATTGTGTTCAGCCTTCATTTGGGTTTCATTGATTCCTTTCAGTGACATTGCCTTTGATCAAGCTTTTGCTTGGTGGATGTTGGTCCTCTGACCATAGCGAGTCAGCAGTATCTTCTATAAGGTTGGGTGTCTTGTTGTATATTCTTTGAGTTTTTCCCTGTTCTGGAAAACTCTTACCTCCCCATCTATATTAACGGATAATTTGACAGGGTAGAGGATTCTTGGGCAGGCGTTTTTCTTCCCCCAGCTTTTGGAAGGTGTTGCTCCACTCTCTCCCCCTTTTCATGGTTTCTGCTGATAGATCTAAGCATATTCTTACCTGAGCTCCCTTATATGTGACCATGTTCTTTCGCTGCTCTTAAAATTTTCTTTTTCCTCAACATTGGATATTTTGACTACTATATGTCTTGGTGGGTTCTTCATAAGGTTAAGTCCAGTTGGCGTCCTCTCTGCTCCCTGTATGAGTGTTTGATTCTCATTCATTAAGGTGGGAATGTTTGCTTCCAGAAATTCCTTCGCTGTTTTAGTTGTAGACATTTTTGTATGCCCTGCTCCAGTAGACCAATTATTTGAATATTATTCCTCTTCATAGCATCTATCATTGATCTCAGATTATCTTCTGTCTCTCTTATTATCCTATTTGTGTGTGTTTCTCATTTACTGAGGTCTGCCCAAGTGTCTTTGAGATCACTGATATGGTTCTCTGCCTCCTCTAGTCTAAACATCAATTCTGTGATTTTGTGTTAGCTTCTGCTACCTCATCCATTAGTCACTGTATGTCCCTTTGGTGCATGGACTTCATCCCCTTTATCTTTGAGTTCATCCCCTCAATTGTAGACTTCATCTCCTCTAGCATTGCTTCCCTTTTTTTGCGTTGTTTCCCTCAACTCCTGCATTAATCCAAGCAGCCTTATGACGATTTCTTTTTGTGACAGATCCACATCGGATTCTTCTATGAGTGTAATTAATTCTGCTATTATGTTTTGTCTCTCTGGTTTTTTTGTTGAGAGTGATGTGTTTTGCTGATGTTTTCTTAACCCCTTTGTGGAGGTGGACTCCCTGTTTCTGGGAGACCAGGGGGCCTGAGTTCTTTCTTTGTGTTACTGATAAGGGTGTTTTGGGGGGTTGCCTGTGGCCTACTATAGAGGTGGGTCAGACTTCTGTGTAGGCAGGGTTCCACAGTGATTCAGTGGCCAACAGTGGTAAGGAGTTTCAGTGACTGGAGTGAGGTGGACCCTGTATATATGCCCCTGGGCTGCTTTGAACTGGGTTGTCAGGCCATGATTCGCAGCCTTTTTCTTGTTTAATTTTTAATTTTCTTTTTTTTAAAGACGCATTATAGAAGGCAAAGGTAGGGGAGACCTCACTGCCATGGGAAGGGGTGTTGGTCAAGGGTGAAAACAACCCCACTGCCCTGGTGCAGGTGCCTGGGGAGGGCTTCCGCAGGGTGTCGGTGCTTGGCATTACAAGTACAATAGTTAGTGTGGTAGAGTGGGGTAGACAAATAGATGTGGGGGCTGCTGTCCATCCATGGGCAGGAAGCGTCATGCTGGCCTGGGACAGCTATGTGTACAAGATGCCCCATGTGCAACGATAAGGCTGAGGCGGCCATTTGATGGGTATTGGCCACGTTGGGGTCTGAGGTATTTTGTCTGGGACGCCCTTGTGCCCTGATTGCTTATCCCCTGGGCTCTGGAGCCAGGCTATGTGTGGGGAATGTATGCTCTTTAGACCAAGGATGCACTCCCCTCTGCTCCTTGTGGGCCTGGGATGCTAGGGGAGTGCTGAGCCAGTGTGGGCATGAGCAGTGCCAGTGGGAGTGGGAAGGGAGCAGTTGGGGGGAGATCACGGAGTAGTGCGCAGTAGTGGCATGGGTCAGCGGGAGCGTCTGGGAGCTGCTTGGCAGAAGCGGGCAGGCACAGAGGCATGGGTATAGGGGTCTCAGGCAGTGATGGGTGGGGGTGGGCAGTCGCAGGTCACCTAACCTGCTAAAGGTAGACTGCAGACCAGTTCCTGGGGCCCTGGGTGAATGGAAGGAGAGACCCGAGCTCAGCTGCAGATCACTGCCACATGGAGAGGGGGGAACCATGGAAGCAGAGGGCAGCTCTCCTAGGGGAGTGCTATAAGTGGGCAGCTGCTACAAGGGAGTCCCAACACAGCTGTGTGGGTCTCAGCAGGGCAACTAAGCAGCTCCTCATGTGGCGACCAGGCCTGGTGGTGGGGTGGAGTAATTGGCGGTGGTGGCATGCAGGAGCAGCCCAGCTGGCTGGGATGAGATGTTCCAAGGATCAGATCTCAGATCTCTGAGGGCTCCAGCTCAGAGCAGATGCGTTACGGGGCTTGCCTCGTGGCCGGGGGAGGCCCCCAGGGTTGTCCTAGGGGTCCTCTCACTCACCAGCAGTCCTCCTAGACACCAGACCTGCCTTGCACGAAATAGCTCTCAGTATGTGCTGCTTACCTGGACACCATCTTGATTCCTCTCACAATTGAAAGATTTGTAAGCAAGTCTGTGTTAACATTTAAGAGATCACTTTGGCTTCTGTGGGGTAGATGGAGTTCTCAGATAAATTCTAGTAAAGCATGAACACCAGTGTTGCAGAAGCAGAGTAAATGAGACTTGTTGATTATCACTCAAAATCCAAAACAACTCCCTGATGTGGAGTCAATTCCGACTCACAGGACAATTCTGATCTTATAGGACAGGGCAGAATTGCCCCTGTGGGTGTCTGTAACTGTGAGACTATAATTCAAAGAGAGTGGAAAGCCCCATCTTTCTCCCGTGAAGGTGTTTTGAACTTCTGACCTTGTGGTTAGCAGCTCAGTGCATAAGCACTACACCACCAGAGCTCCAAGGACTTGGAGATTTTTTTTCACTTGAGCAACCGAGTTGATCATGGTTCTCTTTAGTAGTGGGGGAAGAGAGATTATTTGGTTGTTTTTTGAAAGTGAGGTAAGTTAAGAATCAAGTTCTCTTTTGATCTACTTAAGTTTGAGGGCCCTGTTAGGCATCAAAGAAATATTGGTTTGGTGTTCAGGAGAGTGGTTAGAGCTAGAGAAATAAATGTGTAAATCATCAGCTTGTACTGCATTCCATGAGTTATGTAGCATCCGTATTTTGCATTTAAAGTTTTGTAGATCCGGATGCATTTTAATAAGATTGCCGTAAGCCAGGTAGCAGTCATGATATAGGTGTCAATTGCTGCTCAAGCTTGCATGGCCAGATTGCCAGAATCAGACCTTGAAGAATAGATGACAGCAGCTTAGGAAAATTGTTTGAAGGCACTGTTGGAGTACGGTTTTAACCCCCCAAAGCCACATTCATTGGGAAGCCCAAGTAACTTAGTTGTTTTAAGAAATGAGCAATCACAAGCACTCTGTGGCACAGGCAGTGATAGTGTGTGGGGAGAAAAACCATGTACCTCACTACTACTCTGGAGTAGAAGAGTTATTCTGAAGAGTTGGTCTCTGAGAGTGGGGAAGAAAAAGAAGAATTTATAAATTATGAAGGGGCCATGGGGGAGGGAGTGTCGGGGAGGGAGGGGGGAAATGAGGAGCTGATTCCAGGAGCTCAAGTAGAAAGAAAATGTTTTGAAAAAAATGCTAACATATGTACAGATGTGTTTGACAAAATGGAGATATATATATATATATATATGGATTATGATAACTGTAAGAGCCCCCAATAAAATAAAATTTAAATGAAAAGATTACCTTCATAAGTTTGTTTATATTTATGTTTCTACAGAAACCATATAGGATTAAACATCCACCTGCCTCTAAGATGGCTCTTTTAACCATAAAAATTCAGAATGCTGAAAAAGTACTATGTTATACTTACTTTAATAAGAAATGATTTTTGTAGTGGTAAAAAAGTGTTTCTTAGACTCAATGGCTCTTAGATTCAAAGAAATAAAATAGGGGATACTTACCGTCAGGGAATAGCTAGCATTCCCTACCTCTGAGCTTACATACCGATTTACAGGGCTTTATAGACTATAGCATATCTGCAGACTGCCTTACTTAGACTTCTTCCTCATCTTTCAAGATTCAAAGGGTCATATTTCTATAGAAAACCTTCTCTGAGACCTCTCCCCAACCTATTGGCTAAGTATACAATTTTAATAATAATTAAGTCCTGATAAATTGGTGTTAACTTTATCTACTGTGCTTGTTAACTGGCAAAATGGTGTTAACTTTATCTACTGTGAGTTTATTTCCTCACTGTTTGGGCTTCTAGGGAGAAAAGTGTGGAGGGTTTTAGTGAGTGCCTATTCAAAAGGCATCTATGAATATTAGTAGGAGTACAACTTAGCAAATGAATCAGACAATGAATTTTCATTTTATTTTCTGGTGATTCCTACTTACCAAGTATTTCCATCCCCATATCTCTCCTATACCCCGTACCTCCTCCCTTTTTTGTTTGTTTTAAGGATTGGCCAGAAGCAAGGAGTATAAAAGTACGCTCTATTCAGGTAAATAAACATACTTTTATCATGTTCTGGGATTTAATATGGCTTAATTTTAGTAAGATAATAGACACTTTTACCTTTTTCCAATTCTTAAGTGAACTGGTTCCATAAAGTCCAAGAGAAGTGTTTACCTTATGAATTCATTCCAGTAACTTTTATGTGTATTAATTGGCTCATACCTTCTAGAGCAGTGATTCTCAACCTTCCTAATGCCGTGACCCTTTAATACAGTTCCTCATGTTGTGATGACCCCCCCAAACAATAAAATTATTTTTTTTGCTACTTCGTAACTGTAATTTTGCTGCTGTTATGAATCGGGCAACCCCTGTGAACAGGTTGTTCAACCCCCAAAGGGGTTGTGACCCACAGGTTGAGAACCACTGATTTGGAGTCTTCTTTATAATTATTTATTGTTTGGTCTTGATGTAATAGTTACACATCAGCTCATTTTACAGTACAGTTGCATCTATACAAAGTGTGTAATGAGACTGCTTTAATAGAACTATACAAAATTATCTCATTATTATAGAAACTCTAGCTTTATACATACTTGATATGAGTAGTAATAGAATATATACTCCTATGTCATATTTTGTTTTTGTTGAGAATATACTCAGAAAAACATACACCAATTCAACAATGTCTACATGTACAACTCATCAACATTGATGCGTTCTTCAAGTTGTTCAGCCATTCTCACTTGTCTTTCTGAATTATTTATTTCTTCCCCATTAATATAAACTCACTGCCCCCTAAGATTGTGATAATCATGAACTCTTTCCAGTCCACAGTGTTCATTTGATCAGCTAAAACATGATGGTGGGACAAACAAAAAGAAAGTAAAAACGAAATAGAGGAAAGAACCAGGAGGCAAAGGACATTTATAAAGGCCTAAATACAGACATGTACACATGTAAATATATATATATAATGAGAGGGGAATAGAACTATGTACTCATTATCTATATGTTAAGAATTAAGGTTGCAGATGGACATTGGGCCTCGACTCAAGTACTCCCCGCAACACAGGAAACACTTTGTTCTAACACTCCAGCATTCTGTGATGCTCACCTTCCCAACACATTCACTGAAGACAAAATGGGTGCATAAGCAAATGTAGTGAAGGAAGCTGATGGCTCCCGACTATCAAAAGATATGATGTCTGGGGTCTTAAAGGCTTGAAGATAAACAAGCAGCCATTTAGCTAGCTGAGAACCAACAAAGTCCACATGGAAGAAGCACAACAAGCCTGTGTGGTCATGAGGTGTCAATGGGATCAGGTGTCAGGCATCTAAGACCCAAAATAAAATCACACCCAAGGTGAATGGTGGGGAGGGCATGGAGTAGAGACCCAATGCCCATCTGTAGACAATTGGACATCCCCTCACAGAGGGGTCACAGGGAAGAGATGAGCTAGTCAGGGTGCAGAATAACACCAATGAAACACACAACTTTCCTATAGCTTTTTGATGCTTCCTTCCCCCCACTATCATGACCTCAATTCTACCTAACAAATCAGATTAGACCAGAACATGCACACAGCTACAGATAAGAGCACACAACACAGGAAATCCCGGATAGATAAACCCCTCAGGGCCAACAAAGAGAGTAGAGATACCAGGAGGATTGGGGGTGGGTGGGCGAGAAAGGGGAAATCTATCACAAGGATCAAACTAGAACCCCTTCCCAGGGGGACGAATAACAGAAAAGTGGGGGAGGGGCGAAGGAGGACTATGTAAGATATGGAAAAAGTAATCTATAACTTATCAAGGGTTTGTGAGAGGGGGACAGGCGGGGGAAGAGATGGGGAGCTGATCTCAGGGGCTCAAGTGGGAAGAGAATGCTTTGAAAATGCTGATGGTGGCAAATGTGCTTGACACATTGGATGAATGTATGGATTGTGATAAGAGATGTAAGAGCCCCCAATAAAAGTATTAAAAAAAAAGTTTTGCCAGTATAATCAAAGGGATCTTTAACCCTAGGACCTTGAATGCTTTTTGGTATAAATATTCCTTTGATTGAGTGCCCATTATGAACCTGTCCCCTCTGAGTAAACACTTGCTGAGTATATCTAGGATGGTCTGAACTTTTCATAGGTAAAAACAAAGATTTACATTTCCTAGGTAAAAACTGCAAATTTACATTTTGGCTGCTAACCCAAAGGTCAGCAGTTCGAATCCACCAGCTGCTCCTTGGAAGACAGATGTGGCAGTCTGCTTCCCTAAAGATTTACAGTCTTGAAACTCTACAGAGCAGTTCTACTCTGTCCTAAAGGGTCCTTACAAAGAAATAAAGGAAGTAGAGAATCAGCATAGTAAAATAAATTTTCTTTTTCTGTGCCTACAGGGAAAGAAATGGAACCGGTATATGGACTATTTATTTTCGGAGGGATTGCAAGGCCTGAAACTTTTCATAACAAACAGTATTCGTCCTTCGACCAGGAACAAAAATCCCAATGATGAACGTGAAATGTTGACATAAACAAACAGCATATAAGACTGAATTCCATCTTTGGTGTTACAGTGGCCACATTTGGCTCAATTTAGTTTTCAGTATTTTGTCTTGTCCACAGATTGCATCCTACAGGAATATTTGGGCTGGCCCTCCCTTCACCCATGGCCCAGGAGAGCCTTGGTGTGGCTAACTTTTGTTTTTCAGAAACTTGATTTCGTGACCCAATAATGAAAAGTCACCTCTTCATCACGAGGCTCTACTTTCTACCCAATTATGTATAAGGAGACGTGTTCTGTGGTAGAATTTTTCAGAGTCTTGTGTATTGTAAGCCGCTATGTGAAGAGTGGTACTTAACACAGAGACATACACATGCAAACAATCTGCTCAATCAGGGAAGCATTTTGTGCCGGTCACTTTTTCAGTTCTCTTCTCTTGGGAACAACAGCACTAGCAAAAGTGAGATACATACTGCTCTAAAGGCTGGCTCTAAGCGTGACACCGCTGCTGGCGCCTGTACTGGCAGCACTCTGATGAAACGAAGAAGGGGAGAGGGCTGTGGCGGCAATCGGGACATTGCCGACTTCAGAAAATGGCTCTTGGTGTGTGACACATTTGAGTAGATATGTACAGTTTTAAAATGTTCAGGCCCAAATAAAACTGAACTCTAAATTTCCTGGGTAATTCTGAAGCTTCCCTTTTATTTCAAAAGAGCTAGAACACATTGCTGCAAATTTAATGTAATTTTACTTCACTGGATAGCTTGTTCCTGGATAGCTTTCCTTTTGAGAAAATGGCGTGGGGTCGGGGTACATCTGACTTCCTCTGGCTACCCAAAGGAAAAGCAGCTCCTCATCAGCCCAAGGCTAATTACCGTAAGACAGAAATCACCTGCACTTCTACCCTCCATCCTTCTTTACCCTGTTTTGACAAGAACCATCCCTCCCTCAGCACTCTTGCTTCCCTGGTGGGTTCGATAATTACCTCACAATCCCAGTGCTGGCCTTCTGCTCTGCCTCATGGTCTTTGGTGCTGATTCTCGCTGTACATCCTGGTCTCGGCGTGGTTCTTCTCTGCTCTCTTGGTGTTGTGACCTCTGCTGCCTCTGTCAATTCAAAAAGGGATCTTGTACACATTGGTGGCTCTTCTTTCTTCGTGGTCACAGGATTCGCTCTTTCTGAGATGACTCACATATATCCAGTGGAATAGCAAAACTCACTAATCCCCTCTATTGGTCTTTTACACACCATATTTGCATGATCTCACTCAATCACTTGGTGAGAGGTATAAAGACATGAGTAGAAGAACCATACCAAGTAATTTCATTTCACCACACCCTTTATAATTCATGTCATTTACGGAAACCAAGTTGAATTTCTTGGTGTTTGAGGGACACATGGTTGTGGTCCGGTCCTCCTCCCCCCTCCCAGGCAGAGCTTGCACCCTGGACGTTATCAGGAGAAACCAGTTGCTGGAGAAGGACATCATGCTTGGTAAAGCAATTCTACTGTTCTATAAAGTCCCAATGAATTGAAATCAACGTCACACAGCAGTGGGTAAAGAGACTGACAAAATAGCCTATAACAACTTGAGAAACATTTATTCAACAAAGCCCACAGAACTCAATCGTAATAGTGGGAGATCGTAGGGCTGCACCCATCCCCTCCACCCGACTCCATGTTATGGAAGAGCTATTCCAGTGGACTTTCCCCCTGAGTGGCAGCTGCCAACACCCCCAGATGCTGCTCCCTAGTACAGAAAATAAGTCCAGGAGGGGGTCAGAATAAGCCAAAAACCTGGCAACATTCTGGAAAGGATTGGACTACGTTTGGATTATAGAGCATTTTTTTGTCTGCAGGACATTGTCAAAAATAATAATCAGCATTCAGTGGAGGCTGAGAACAGACCATTCCAAAGTTTCGCAGAGAGGCCAGAGAAAGGGACAAGGAAGGCCTGGCTAGTTGTTTTCAGGAACAACTGCACAACTACTGAACAGTTCGTCCCTGACTAAATACAAGGCAGGAGTCTCCCCAAACCCATGCCAAACTCATTGCCATCGAGTCGTTTCCGCGACTGTAGGGCAGAGTACAACTGTCCTCGCGTGTTTTCTAGACTATAAATCCTTACCAGGGTAGACAACTTTTGTTTTTATCCCACAACGAGTCTGGGTGGTGCAAACGATTAGCAATTTGGTTGCTAACTGGAAAGGTAGATTCAGATGAGTCTACCTGGACATGCTACGGATGAAAGATTTGGCGATCTGCTTCTGAAAAATCAGCCATTAAAAAACCTATGTAGCATAGTTGCACTATGATACCCTGTAGATAACCCTATGTATCTACAGGGTATCATGAGTGGAATTGACTCAGTAAGAACAGATAAATGGAGGACAACCTTATAAACTACGTGGAGTGTGAAAGCCATTTTCAAGCCACAAAATTCCAACAGTAAATTGTGGAAGCCTTATTATATCAGAGGACTTAAACACAAACTCTGACCAGTCAATGGCTAACTGCAAAAATGACCCAGGAGTGAGCCCTAGGAAGCCAGGTTTAAAGATTAAAAACAAAAACTATCAGGCAACCAACTATGCAAAGTGTCAGCTAAGTCCGTATAGAAGCACACTAGCCTATGTGATCCAAGGATTGTAAATAATAAAATTCAAATCTTAAGAGAGGAAATGGTGTCAGATCTTAAATTGTGAATCCCTGTTTGGCAGAAAGCTATGAATGAGAGTAGAAGCCCAAAATCCATTTGCAGGGTCCACACATGGATTAAGCCTCCAGTGAATCCCCTCTGACCATAGCCGAGGGATGTGAATAGCCTTGTTAGCAGACAGAGAGCATTGTAAATTTGATTATGGCAGATGTAGTTTAGTTAGAATGTAATATCTTATTTTATCTCCCTTTTTACCCAATTCTAAAGTTTTTTCATTGATGAAAACAACCTATAGATTCAGAGAAAATATTTGGTAAACCTAAATCTGAGAAGCATTTAACATCCAAGATAGATGCAGGTAAGTCAAACAATATTTCTACTAGGGTTCTAGTTCGTACAGGTATGAGTTCATTCCAAATGATGAATATGTTTAAACATGTTTCTATAACCAGTGCATGACTGAAGACCAGTTCTCTCAGTAAATTATACAATCAAAACTGACTTCTGAGAGGGTCTGCTGAGCCACTTAAAGACAGAAGTCAGCTGAGGTTATACCAGCTGGGTTTGGGGACTCCAAAGGTATGCTCTTGGTAGATGTTCTCAAGACACAAGACTAGCAAGAAGGCTTATAAGAAAATATAAAAATTGCATTGGTAAGGAAAAAGGCCAAAAATGTTGGTGCTGAGGAAGTTTTTTCCCCATTAAGACAGTGTACCTGCTCATTCTTCAAGGTTAGCAAGGGCTATCCTAGAAGAATTTCATTCGGAACCTTACTCTACCCACCCTGAAGCCCTGATCTTCCCACTCAGGATTCTTTTTCTCAAAATGCAAAGAACATCTCCCAAGCATGCAATCTGAGCCCCTCAGGGTGGCCCAAACTGCCATTTTGACGTGATAATAAAACAAAATTCTTTGAAAAGAGTATAGATGAACTAAAGACAATGGATTAAAAAGGCATATAAAAATTATACACACACACACACACACACGCAAAGTAATTCCACTTCATCATAAGTGGAATGTTCTCTATGCTTGTTAGTAGGCCTATTTGTTTGACAGTGTTTTTCAAGTTTTCAACATTCTTTTCTCTATAATTGTTCACTGCATTGTTAAAATTGGAATATCAAAGTCTCCACCTATTATGATTAAATGATCAATTTATCCGTTGTCAATTTTTTTTTTGAGTTCTGTTGCTAGGTGTGTGTTTATCATTATTATATTTTTGACAGATTACCCGTTCATCTTTATATCTTTATCTATTAATTTGGGACCTTAAATTTTATTTCATAGCAGGGATCAACAATTATTTGCCTTTTCTGATAACAGTAAAACTAGGGGGCATAAAGTGGTATCTCATTGCGGTGGCGATTTGCCTTTCACTGATGACTCATGTCATTGATCATCTTTTTATGACCTTGAGTGGCCATTTGTGGATCTTTGCAGCAATGTCTCACATTTTTGCCCATTATTTGATTGGGCTGTTTGTCTTTTTGAGCTTTATGAGTTCTTTATTCGAGGGTAAGTCAAAAAATATTGCTATAAAATAACCTAATCAAAATGTGACAGCATTGCTTCTCAACATATACTCCTGATGCCATATTCTTCATATACTCCATCTTCTCAGATTGCTTGCTCAGCATATTGATTAAGTACAATGGCAGGAATACATATACCCTGTTTCCTCGAAAGTAAGACACCCCCCGAAAATAAGACCTACTTATAGTTTTGCCTCTTGCTGAAATATAAGGCATCCCCCCAAAAATAAGGGTTTGGGTTGTTATGATGATGTTCCAGAAGATGATGACATGGCTGTCATTGAGTAAATGAGTGAATGTACCATAGATTGTTGTACATGGAAATAATGGTAGTAACAAGAAATTTTTGATACTGTATAATTCACAGTTTGTCTGGTTATGCTGGTTTGTGATGACAACTACTGTACCGTATACAGGTAATAAATTTCCCTTTTTTTCCAACAATAAATATACCCTATTTCCTCGAAAGTAAGACACCCCCGAAAATAAGACCTACTTACGTAAGACCTACCTACATATTCTTCATGGAAAAAAAATACATCCCCTGAAAATAAGAGCTAGCGCATCTTTGGGAGCAAAAATTAATATAAGACACTGTCTTATTTTCGGGGAAACAGGGTAGTTACTGTACCAAAAAGAATTTCTTGATGCTCTACCAGTTCGGGAGGTAACAGATAATCAAGAATTGACCCAAGATCCGAGGAGGGAATTGTATTAGAACATAAATTCTGAGCACCTGCTTTTTTCCCCAACAGTTTTATTGTCACATAGTTTGCATAACATACAATTCAATAGTTCAATCATTCAGTCATATTAAGGAGAATTGTACAATCATTACAACATCAATTTTAGAGCATCTCCCACCCCATGGTTAAATTGCCTTTAAGTTTTACAATCACAATCCATTCTAGTGCTCCCTCCCCCCTCCCGCCTTCATTATTTACTCCCTAAATCCCCTTTTCCTCCATATCACCCACCTCTCACCCCTGTATTGCCTATATCCCTTTTTATCCATAATTAACATTATGCATCCACTCCTCCGGTGCTTCAAACTGGGAAAACCAACAGAAGACCAATCGCACTAAGGCAGTAAGGATAAAATTATAATAGCACAGAGACAAAAATAGAAATAATGCGTAAGAAAGAAAATACCCCCAACAATATTCAAAAACCAATGGAAGAAATTCTGTCATGGAACAAGTAAGAGATACTTGGACCCAGAATAAATTCAGGTCGCATCTATAGGAAAGTCAACTATCTGGCCAAATACCTAGTTCAATCCAGCATAATCAAGATTACAATGGTCTTGGCCTGATAGCAAAGCTGTTTGAGATTCTTGTCTATGGCTAGAGCAGATCTGCCAGTGACTCAGTCTGACTAGATACTCTGCAGATGGGCTTGGGGCCCCACCCCAATCTCCCTCCACAAATTGGGTTTTCTTAATTTTTGCTCTGATGCTTTTCCCTTCACTGTATTCAAATTT